TCATTTCACCTAAAGGTACTTGGTCTCTCTGAATAATGTTCTGCCCAACACTCTTCTCCCAGATAGTCTTACAGTTTATATCCATTTCCTTCAAATCTCTGTGCTGCTTCACCCAGCACAGCCCATCCTCCAACCCTGCTTTTTTTCCTTAGTATGTATCACTTTCTAACATACTGTAATTTATCGTGTGTGTGTATATATATATCTTCATTAAATTTAAGATTCATATGGACACTGATTTTTGTTCATTGCTTTATCTCTCTCCACCACGTAGGCTAGGGCCTGTTATAAAATACATGTTCCATAAATACAGCTTGAATGATCTTTATTACTTTAAGTCATAATGAATTTCTTCCCTGAAAAGATTTGATATTCTGTTTTCTTTTCTTTTTCTTTTTTTTTTGGTAAGGCTTGACTTAATATATATATATATTTAATGATTTATTTATCTATGCATAAAGAACTGGGGTACAGGCCAGAAGTGCAGGAAGTGAGAGGATTCACCAGAGACAGAGTAGGGTGCAGAACAGGCAGACAGACTGACGTATACTGCTGAGGGGAGCAGTGGGCAAGTCAGGAGAGAGGTCTGCTACGCCATGTGGGTAGCAGCTCCCTGGCCCGCCAGGAATCAAACACGTGTTGCCAAGGCTGCAGAAAGCCTCACAGAGCCACCAGGGAGGCCCAGGCTTGACTTGGAAATGCCTTTACTAGTTGGAAATGTTATTAATTTTTTAAAATTTACTATTAACTCCACCATGACTTATTATGTAAGACTGAAATCACTTTTTAAAAATTAATTGTTCCCAAAGACTCTACTTTTCCAACTACACATTTCTTTCCTTCCTCATAGGCCTACTTCTACCCTAAAATTCTCTGAAAACTGTAAGAGGAATTTGACTGATTTTGCATATCTGAACTAAAAAAAGAGAACTTTGATAAAGTATTTTACAAGTATAACCCTAGGTACAAGTATAATCACTATGTAAACAATGAAGCTATGAGGAAGGGGAATACTACCCATAAGCTTGTTTAACTTAATGCTAACAGCAATCTTACAGAATAAGATTATTATCCCCCACTGGCAAGTGAGAATGCCAAAATTTAGGGATCGCTGACTTGCCCAAAGTCCAAAATGCAGTAGAGCCAGGATTTGCATATAAATTTTGCAAACCAGGGATTTCCAATGGGGACAATTTTGCTTCCTACCCCCTAGGGGTCATTTGGCAATGCCTGGAGACACTTTTGACTTTTAGTATCAGGAAGTGTGGGGGAGGGGAACTGCAACAAAATGTCAATTGTGCAATGTTAAGAAGCCCTGCACTATAATTTCTTAGGACAAATTACTATTTATATGGCTTAAAAAATAAACAAAACATTTACACAAAGCCAACTAGTAGTAAATCTTGATCTATCTTGATAGTGTCACCTGGCAAGAAAATGTAGTTGCAGAGTGTTTTAAACACTCCTACCAATAACTGAACCTTTGCATTTAGCAGACTATACATTACAAAGGTGATCCTCAAACTATTAAGATTAAGCCTCACTATTCTTAATCACCTATCTCTAAATTATGCACAAATCTACATCTTAACCTATTTCTCTGCTGAGCTACAAACTCTACTTTTCAATTGCCAGCTGCATCTTAAAAGTTAAGATTTCTAAAAGTAAACATATTCTCCTGTAGCAAACTGTCTCCTCTTAAGGTGCCCTTTTTTTTTAGGATAGATTATCCTGTCGGAGAGGATAAGTAGTCTTCTTTGATGCCTCACTTTCTCTAAACTCTCCCCTCCCCCAAAATCAAACAGTTTCCTCTATTTTACCCTAAATAGTAGAGAGCAGAGAGCAGATCCTAACCAGAGACAGAGAAGAGTAGTTTAGACCTGATACCAGGTACACAGGTCTGAATCCTGGGTGTCACATAAAAGTATTTCTGTGCAAGTCACCTATTTTTCAGTGACTACTTCCTATTTACAAAGTAAATTTAATACTTGTGATGTCAGTTTGGAGAGGTGTTGGGTTCAGAGTGTGGGGTCCTTGGGTAACCTCTAAGAAGTTTCATGAGAGCTCCCCCTTAAGGGCACATGACGAGTTTCCCACAAGGCAGACATTTATAGTAATTATACCCAAAAGGGCATGTTTATTATAGACAAGGAAAGGAAAAGACACTTGCACAAACACGTGTGTGTAGAACATGCTGTCCCTGAAAGGGGCAGGTTAAGAGACACTGGCATAATCACAGGGTGGGGGAGAAGACAACGTTGGGAAGAGAGCTGCATCTGCTTCCCCGCAAAGGGAGGTTGGTGAAGAGGAACACCTGCCTTGTCACAGGTGCCAGGAGAGCAGCCTCTTGCTAGTGCAGAAATTGCACTGATACAATCTTCTCTTTGGGAGGGGTTCATTCTTTTGTGGGCTAGTAACTGCTGTTTGATTACTTCTAGGGTTGGTGCCTAAGGATATTTTTCTATATTTAGAGATCTGAAAAGACAGGTGATTTTTCTTTTTTATAAGGGCCCTCAACCTCCATGTCCTCTGTCTCTGTCTTTTTCTGGGCCTCAGTTTATTTTTCTATACCTTGTTTAATATTATTTCTACCTCCACCTCCAGCTTCTGGTCTTGTGATGCCTCCTTCCCAAATTTTCTACTCTTGGCCTCTTCCATCAGCTGTCTCTATCTTAAGGGTCCTGGAAAGGCTAAATGAGTTAGCAGATACAAGGCATTGAAGACCGCATCCAGCTCAGTAAATACTCAATATTTAACTATTATTAGCTGTATTATTTAAAGCACTCTCTAAGGTTATCCTCTGAGAATTCAATTGGGAAAAATTAAGAGCTTAAAAAAACATGTTAAATTTATTTTGGGGATACAAAGGTACCATAAGCACATATCAAAAATAAATATATTAAATTATTCTAATTTTTCTTAAAATTTTTTTTATTAAGAAAGGGATAAAGTCATTGAACTATTGCCCAAGAAATTCTAAAACAATATGATTTAAAAGTTTTAGGATTTTTTTTTTAAAGATTTATTTATTTATACAAGCACTGGGTACAGTTAGAAGTGTGGGAGGGTGAGAGAATTCACCAGAGCCAGAGTGGGGAACAGAACAGGTAGACTTGACGAAATACACTGCTGAGGGGAGCAGCAAGCGCGGCAGGAGAGGTCTGTCGTGTCATGTGGAACCCTCGCCAGTGGCCAGGGATCAAAGTGGCACTGCAGAGGCTGCGGGCAGCTTCGCAGCCCAGCGCTCAACCGCTGCGCCACCAGGGGAGTCCCTAAAAGTTTTAGGACTCTTGTACGATCAAGTTGCCCTAGATATAATCAAAGGCCAGCATGACTAGACTATGCTAGCACAAAGGAAACTTTCATATAAAACAAAACTATAAACAATGTATGGAAAATGATCTTCTTTCATATAAGGTGAGTTCAAAAACACAAAATTTGATAGTGTTCCTAACACTGTGCCAGGAAAAATGTTCCTGAGTCCAAAAAGGTGGTTTCCCATTGTGCAAAATGATTTCTCAGACTTTGATACTGGCAAGTAAGGTCATCCATATCTCCCGTTATGAATATATGCATACAATATACTGTTTTACTTAAGGATCCATATGCATCTGGCTGGAGGAAAAGAATACATTAATCATCAAAACGGAACAGCTCACCTGATACCGCTATTTCTCAGTGAAAATTAATGATTCAAATGCAACTTTTGATCCCTAAGCCAGAAACAATCCCCAGAGCTCCTCTAATGTACTTTTCTTATACTTTAACTGTAACTCTTACTTAATTTATTCTGCCTTTTTATTGCTAGTTATTTACAAGTTTCTTTTCCACCAATGTAAGCAGCTAAAGGTCTGTATATGATTATTTCCTTTTTTGTATTCAACAATTTACTGGGGTGCAAATTTGAGTTGATGTTAGATGTCTGATGTATAAATGTCAGATGTCTGGTAAATAAATGAGTGAATAGCATAGTGAAGTTATCCTCTTCCTAGAAAAAAGTGAAAAGAATACACACAGATTGTACTTACCTTATTTTGTTCATTTTGAATAATTTCTATTAGCTGGTCTACATGCCCTTCATCTATGCATTTTTGGCCTGCTAACTGAAATAGGCCAAAATCTTCTTCTTTAAAGTCCTGTTCTTCTAGTATTTGCTGGCAGAAACAAAATTTAAAAAAAAAAAATACTTAGGGAAATAAAAATTTATTTTATCTCTGAAAAATAGGAAAAGTTTAAATTCTAGATATAATTGTATATAAGCATGCATATGAAAATTATGATTAACCCAGTTAATACTTTAATGGAAGAGCTAGAAATCCACTCTGCTAAAGAAATCTACACTAAGTATCAGTATTAAAATTTCAAAGGTTATTTAGACAAGTATTTCACTTGGAAAAATATAACAATCTGTCTTCCTGTTCTGCTATTTATTCACAGATCATAAAAAGCAAGGATTAAAGAAGATAAACATTTTAAGTGAAGGCAAATGTAATTAAAAATAATCTGTGTCTTTCCATATTTGGAAAGGTATTTAACTTTACGAAAACAAAAACCACTTACACATCTCTTTATTATGGATTGAAGTTCCTCCACAGCCATTCCTTGATATTTTTTCTAGCTTTGAACTGAAATATACTAACATAAGACACACTTGTTAACTATCACTGATAGTAAATTGAAGTATAAGCAACCTGTTTTATGCTGATGAATTATTAATAAACATGAGAAAATGGAAAGCTTTAAAACTGAAATGCTATTACAAGTATGTTAGCCTACGAAATAAAAACATCAAAAAAAAACTTGGATCTTTTAAGTTTTCTGGGAGTATAGATTAGAAATAAAGTTTTGAGAGTTAAAAAAAAAAATCTTGTCGAGCACTCACAAGACAGCGCAAACATGTAGCAAAAAGGGTTTTAAAACAGCAAAGCATGCCTTCCCTGAAAAAAATTTCCAAAAGGGCCTGAAATCGGTTCTAGCCATCAGATAAATTTTAAATTTTAATGTTTCACTTGACAAAAATTGGTGTGCAACTCCACTCACCCGAAAGGGGTGTCCACTTACGTGCCCTCCACCCCAAGTGTGACGGGGGCATTTCTCTGCCGGGGAAGCAGCCTCCAAAATACCCAACCCAGCGCGAGAAATCACTACCTCGCCCGGGGACGTGGCAAGCGGCGGCCTTGGAGCAACCCCCGGCGCCCGCAGCCCTCGGCGCCCGCGGCAGGAAGGCCGGCCCGGCCCCGCAGAGGGGCGCGGGCCCGCGGGGTCCTCGCGGAGACGCGCTCCAGCGCGGACGGAGCCCACCGCGCGCGGGCGGCATCCCGGGAAGCCATTGCTCCCGCCGCCGCCCGCCGCGGCGTTCGGGGCCCACCGCCTCAAGGCTTCGTCGGCCGCCCACGCCGGCCCTTCCGCCGCCGCTCGCAGCCCGCGGGTCCCCGGCGCCGGGAGCTCCCGGCCGGGCCACTTACCCGCCGGCCTCGCGCCCCTCGCGCCCTCCGCCGCCTCGCCCCGCAGGCCGCGCTCCCGGCCCCGCCCGCCCGCGGCCCCGCCCCGCGCGACGCCAGGGCGGGCGGAGTCTCGGGCCGAGGCCGGGCCCCCCTCCCCGCCGCGGCGCGCCCATGGCTGACTCGGCGCGGGCCCGGGCCGGCGGCCTCCGGGCCCGGTCTCCCCGCGCCTCCCGAGGAACCGCAGGTAGGACGGGCCTCCCGCCACGTTTGCGCGTGAAGAACGAGCCCCGGCTGGGTCCCCAGCGGAGGCGCGCGGGGCCCGCCCGGAAAGGGGCGGGCTCGGGCGGAGAAGGCCCGACGCTTCCTGCGGAGCCCCCGGCCGGCGCCGCTCGGCCAGGACTTCCCCCTGCCTGGGCTGTGCCCTGTTTCTGAGGGGAGGGGGAGCCGCCGTGCCGGGGCGCTAGACTGGGGTGCCAGAGGGTGGGTGAGTGGGGCGGCGGCCGCGGGCTGCCTTGTAGCCGCCCTGACGGAGCGCGGGTCTGGGTCGCACGGGGGTCCCTCCTTTCCCGCTCGCGAGCCCGGGGGCGTGGAGGGACGCGGCCTCTACAAGCCGAGTCTTGGGCTTTCAGGAGCGCTTAATGATGTGACACGAGGAAATTCAGTCCCGAAAGAGAGATACTTTTCAACCAAGAAAAATTTGGGAATAATTAAGTTACAACAACAAGCTGAATTCCTTGTTTTGGTTTACACGCAGGGTTGGAAATGAAGTGTGTGGGTAAGAACATCGTCTGCCGTCCTCTGGGGCAGCTTTCTGTTGTGTAACTTACTGTGTGTGGACTGAACCTGTTGTTTGTTTTTCTTAATTGTAGATACTAGAAGGACAAGTGCTTTGAAACAAGATGCTTCTGAAAGGTATGAGAACTACTTGAACAACTGCATTCACTTATCTGTTTCTTAGGGGAATCATTTTTTAAAAACTATAATGTGTGTACTATCTTAGAGAAAATTATGAGAGAAAAGGGGCAAACCTGGAAACACTAGGCTATGCATCCCTCTACTCCAGGCTTTAAGAAAACCAAGTTTGACTCTTAGATTGCTGGTGAAGGTATGAGTATCTGTAGTAAGGTGCTATGAGAATAAACATTCCTGAAAAGCAGGTACTCCCTTTTCATTTTTTCAGGTATACTCTCCTCTTTTTGCTTTGTAAGTCAAGAGTTCAGGAAACCTTTTCTGTGCTTTGTTTACATCATGTCCATATTTTCAGCAAAAAGTAGCACTGTACTTCTGGGCTTCTCCTAAAAGGCCATTTTATCTCCTGTGACAAAGTTTTTACAAAGATTATTAAAAATATATACATTCATGGTGTAAAGGCAGGACAGGACACAGGGCAGGTTCTCTGATCCCATGCAGACCGGGTAAAGGAGGAGTCAGAATCCTCAGTAGTTTTGCAGGTTTTTTATTGGGGTTCACCAGGCATATGGCAGGCAGGGGTGCTGGCTGGGGGGCTGGCAGGCCCCCCCCAGCAAGTCTTCACTCTATCTGGGCTCTCTGGCGTTCGTTCTGCTGCTTCTCGGCTTCTCTTTCGGCTTCTGCTTCGGCTTCTGCTGCTGCTACTGGAGTCCCCGTGACGCCGCCCTTAAAAAGCACAGTCTAGCTCAGCTGAATCCCATCTACCTATGCCCACACCCAATTCCAGGTGCCCGCCATCAGGCATGCATTCAGGACAAGGATCCATCATCTATCCTGATGGCGGAAGGGCAGAAAAGCCTGATATTTTCTTTACCCTACACATGGTTTATCATTTTATGAAATGCTCATTTGGCCTTAATTTACTCATTCTTTAAAGAGTTATTTACTGAGTGTAAGATATGCCAGACCTGAGTTAGATCCTGAGGATATGGTTTCGAACAGAATTGCCACAGTTCCTGTCCAGTAGAACAGAGAAATACCAATTACACAAATAACTATGTAATTATAAATTGTGATAAGTACTATAAGGGAAAAGACTGATACTCTTAAGGAGTATCCGCTTAGTTGTGGATTGGCAGGGCAGGTGATGGAATTTTCAGGGAAAGGCTTCTCTGAGGAATTAAGCTGAGGCCAGAAGGCTAAGTTGGCATTAACTAGACAAAAGAGGAGTAAGAAGAGACCTCTAGCCAATGGTGACAGTATGTTGAAGACTCTTGAGACAAGACATATAATGGTCAGTTCAAAGAGAGGAGAGACGCCCATGGTGGTGTGCAGCATTCTGAGTGGAAGAAAGGAGCACAGGAAAAGTTTAGAGGGAGAGGCAGGTTTCTATAGTAATTGGTAGGCCATGGTGAGAAATTTAGAATTTCTAAGCACAAATGGGAAAACTTATCAGAAAGTGATGGAATTTAAATTCTGGAAGTTTTAAGCACTTAGGAATGATGATCATCTGGGAATGGTGAACTGTTTGGAAGAGCCTTTCCCTATGAAACACTGTGGTTATACTGACTTGGCTTCAGGAAATTCTCCATGAGTAAAGTTTAGTTAATATTAATGATAGTAATTTGTGGCTTTCCTCAATATTGATCTGACCACAAACTGAGCAGATTATATTTTATCCTGGCCACTACAAGTTGAGAAATACAGATATACTGAAATGTATTTTCAACTGATCATCCAGGATGTTGTAACAATTAAAAATGCAAATAGTTGTTTAGGAGCATGATCCTTTATCAATGTATTCCAGCCGAAAAATACTTCTACATTCAATCCAACTGAGTACTATTAAGCCAGAACGTAAAGAACTTTGCAAAAATATAAACAATTCCACTTGCTAAAATTTCCATTTAAAATTATGTTAACATTTGTGGGCATATTATTAAATGTTTTCCCTTTTAATTCTATGGTAAATATTGACAGATATAATCCACATAAGCAGAATTGCTAATTTTAAAAGTATAAAGGAATCCTGAAACAAAAAACTTTGAGAACCATTGATCTGTACCAAAATACCTGTTACACTTGGGGCAGAGGGCAGCGATGAGACAGACTGTCCATGAGAAGTAGTTGTGAGTACCCGTCAGTTAAAGGGAGTATCCCTATTATCTGTAGGTTGAAGTAGTCAATGGTTTTAAGTCTGCAATTCCTGTCTCATGATATGGCTTTTATTGGTAAGCAGCAAAATGAAAAAAATAAGAATATTTTTCATATTGAATATCAAGAATCACCTTAGTCTATGTTTACGTCTTATTCTTTTTTTGAGAATGGCCTTTACTTGGGCCTCTCTGGTGGCGCAGCGGTTGAGCACTTGGTTGTGAAGCTGCCCATGGCCTCTGCAACACCCGTTTGATCCCCAGCCACCAGGCGAGGATCCCACATGGCGCGCAGACCTCTCCTGCCGCTTGCTGCTCCCCTCAGCAGTGTACTTTGTCAGTCTGCCTATTCTGTTCTCTGGCTCTGGTAAATTCTCTTACTTTCCCGTGCTTGTGACTGTACCCAGTGCTTGTATAAATAAATACATAAATCTTAAAAAAAAAAAAAAAAAAAAAGAATGGCTTTTACAAAATGGTGGATGTAGGGTAAATGAAGATTGGTCAAGTCTGCGGCTATTACCTGTGACCTTGATTGTGCTAATGCAGGAGACACTTGGGAGCGTGGCCTTGGGGTACTCTTGCCTGATTGTGGACACCTGGAGTATGGTGTGGGCATGCACAGGTGTGCACACCTGAGCCTGAGGTTACAAGGGTGGCGTCACACAGGACAGCTGCGGCAGAGAGCGGCTACGGCAGCTACGAGAGGAGACCACAAGAGAATGCCAGAGAGAGCCCAAAGAGAGAGTAAAAATTCACTGGGGGCTGGGAGGCTTGCTAGCCCCTGCACCCCCAACCCCCCCAGCCTCCCTGCCTTGCCAGCCTATGGGCTTGCCCCACGACAGTTGGCGTAGAAAGAGCATTAAAGACTGAAAAAGCCACTGAGAGCTCCAGGTCTCTCCTTTGCCTGTCTACCTTTATCGATAGAGAACCTGCACTGTGCTTGCTGGCACTACAGTGGGAGAACAGGTGTTAGTTGTGAATTATTTTACAACTTATTTTAATGTCTCTATTTGGTAAAATAAGTGGTTAGCAATCCTGTATAAGTCCTTCAGAATCTTTTTGCGCTTTAAAAATTTTTTTTGTTTAAAAAAACTTTTTTTACAGATTGTTTTTGGTAAAACATTGCTCCACCCAAGGAATTAAATGTTGGAAGTCAATAAAAGTAGGGAGAGTAGGTGAGTACTCTCCAGGTGGAGAGTCAAGTCAGGGTTGAGGAGACCAGCAACGGTTATTCTGGTAGGCAAATAGAAACCAGAAAAGGAGCAAATAAGTCCCCAAGATGGGGCCTCCCTGGTGGTGCAGGCATTTGAGTGCACACTGTGAAGCTGTCCCGCAGCCTCTGCAGCGCATGTTCTATCCCAGCTGGCCAGTGAGAATCTCACATGGCACGACAGACCTCTCCTGTCTTGCCTGCTGCTCCCCTCAGCCATGTATTTCGTCAGTCTGCCTGTTCTTTTCCCCACTCTGTCTCTGGTGAATCTTCTCATCCTACCGCTCATCTGGCCTGTACCCTGGTTCTTGTTTAAATAAATAAATCTTAAAAAAAAAAATATCCCCAAGATGGTTAATATTTTTGGTTCTCTGGCAGTGATTCTCAACTCTGTTGCACATTAAGATTATTTGGTACACTATTAAGACACAACAATAACCAATCCCTATTTTCAGAGATAGGATGTGCTGCTGGGATTGAGAACCATTGTCCTGCGGCTTCAGCTTTTATGTTCCATGGTATAAGGGAACCAGCAAAGGCTGACAAAGTCCCACTCAGGACAAGACAATGCTGTCCTCCCAGGAAGATTGTTGTTTTCATGAACGACATATTTATGTCAATACAGTTATTTAATGAGAACTTACAATAAAAAAATAAATACTTCTTGCAAATGCAACTCTGTCCTACTTCGTAACTTCAGTCAGCTTTTATCCTCGGGTAGCTTAAGATTTGACAAAGAAATTTTTACTTGTAAGAACAGCCAAAGTCATATTTTTCCTCTCTAATCTTTGATGATTTCTAAGGATTTCAGCGAAAAAGCCTGTCTGTTTAGGATTACACAGGAATGATAACGTAGAAACTAACTGGCAAAAAGATTTCACCTACTTTTTTTTCTATAGTTCTCCCTTGTTCTCTGAGCGGTAGAAAGTATTTAATCCTCTAATTATGGCAGATTTCTATGTGTGTGTAGTGCAACAAGTGGCTTATTTCTTTTTTTTGAAAAGTGTTGGATCAAAAGTAATAGTAGTAAAAAATACATACTTAATTTGAATAGCAAAATAGCAAGTTATTTTAGTATTTTACTTTAAAACAGAAAATTGCTATGATAAACTTACAGGTAGAACAAATTTAAATAATTGTCTTTAATTTCAGGAAAGCGGAACTAGAAGCAGCTGTGAGAAAGAAGACTGAGTTTGAAAGAAAAGCTCTACATATTGTTGAACAGCTTTTAGAAGAGAATATTACAGAAGAATTCCTAAGAGAGTGTGTATGTGTTGACTAATTACTTTTAGTATAAGATCTTTAAATCTGTGCCATCCAAAACTTTTTTGCTCTATTAAAATCTTTAAATCTGTTCTCAGTCACTAGATATAGGTAACCAAAAATCATTAAAAAATTATCAGCTAGGGCCTCCCCGGTGGCGCAGCGGTTGAGCGCTGGGTTGCGAAGCTGCCCGCGGCCTCTGCGGCGCCGGTTCGATCCCCGGCTGCTCCCCGGCCACCGGAGGAGGGTCCCACATGGCGCGCAGACCTCTCCTGCCGCCCGCTGCTCCCCTCAGCAGTGTACTTCGGTCCTTCTGCCTGGTCTGCTCCCCGCTCTGGCTCTGGTGAATTCTCTCACCCTCCCGCGCTTCTGACTGTACCCAGTGCATGTATAAACAAAACAAACAAACAAACCAGCAAACAAATAAATAAAGCATGCCTCTATAAAAAAAAAAAAAAAAAAAAAAAAAAAAAAATTATCAGCTAGTATGTATTCGTTGTATGACTTTAAAATCTTCTAATGAAAAATAACATGCATATTTTACCTCTCAGTAGTAGTTCATTTCTCCAGTCTGCTAATCTTGATTTTCATCATGTTTGCACTAATGATCATGTCATTTTTCATATTCTTTGTTGACCTACTATAGTAACAAGATTAGTTTTATGAGTGTAATTCCATTAATTTTGATTTTTAAAAGCCTGAAGTACGCCATTTATGATTTAACTTATAAAAGAATTATATTTGCATTTTTTATTTCTTTAATAACTATTGCAGTGAAATTTGGAATGGAACTTTTTATTATATTATAATCCTTAAGAGAGAAAAAAGAAAATTTAGAATGTAGAGCTTCCATGGTAAGCTTAATCTTTGTGTGGCTCTGAGATTTTTCTAAACACTAGGAATGTAAACATGACAATATTTAAATTTGTATAGGTAATTTCATCAGAACATACATATGTGATAATACTAAAGAAAACAAAGACAAGCCAGAAATGTTTTTTGTAACAAATATCTATATCAATAAAAAGTATTTCACAATGCAAAGTACTAACCCCTATAAGATCACAACCAATAAAAAGTATTTCAGTCTCTGTGAAAACAGAAAAACTTGTTCAGAAGGATCTCCTCCAGGTTATGGGACATGAGTTGAGATTATTTGAATATGAATATGTCAAAGGAAAATATTTGGTGTTAGTGTGTAATCATCACTTCACTATTCTCCTGTATAGTTTGTGTTTTAAGCTGGTAGATTTTGTTCAGGAGTTATGACATCATCAATATACTTTGTTTTTTAAGATTTGCTGGAGAGAGGTGAAATTATTATTTCATTTTAGAGTAATACTTAAAACATATATATAAATATACACTAATGCAGATATACTATCAGTATTTTGCTTTGGTAAAACAATTAGCTATAGCACCACGTCTTCCTTCTGACTCAGATTTTTTCATGAACTTTGTAATCTACAAAGATTACACTCTACTGTGATTATATGGTCTCCTGGCAGAAGTTTTTTGGTATTTTTTTAATAACTGGTGACATTGAGTGCTTATTCTGTCAAGCACTTTTCTAGGTGCTTTGCCTTATTTCCTCTGATTCTAACACCAAACTTTAAGATGGGTACTGTTAAACCTATGTTTTCAAATGAGATTGATAAGACTTAGAGAACTGATAAATAAAAGTTCCCAATAACCTGGTTGGGGGGGGGACTGTTCCTCCCATTTTATTATAGGGGAAGTTTATCACACCCGCTCACTACAGTGATGTCGTCGATGAGCGTTCCATCATCAAACTCTGTGGTTATCCCTTATGTCAGAAGAAGCTAGGAATTGTAAGTAACTAATTTTTTTCCTTAAAAATCTAGTTTTTTTTTTTTAATAACTAGCAAAATACTTGTAGAAAGAGTAAGAAAGGGGCCTCTCTGGTGGCGCAAGGTGTTAAGCACCGCACTATGAAGCAATCCGCAGCCTCTGCAGCACAAGTTCGATCCCTGGCCGGCCAGCCAGGGAGCAGCCCACATGGCGGAGCAACCCACATGGTGCAGCAGACCTCTCCTGTCTCTCCCGCTGCTCTCCTCAGCATTGTATTTCAGTCAGTCTGCCTGTTCTGCTCCCCTCTCTGTCTCTAGTGAATCCTCTCACCCCCCTCTCACCACCTGTGCCCCAGCTCTTATATGCATAAATAAATAAATCTTAAAAAAAAAAAAAAAGAGCAAGAAAGGAAACTGAGGTCTGAACGAATTGAGGTCTGAACGAATTGACATGGATTAGTCAAAGATATACTATGTCAATGAATCTTGTAACATAAAGTTCATGTTTATTACTTGAAATTTTTTTGTAAGCTGTACTTTCTTTTCTTTAGGTACCAAAACAGAAATACAAAATTTCTACCAAAACCAACAAAGTCTATGATATTACTGAAAGAAAGGTAAGTTTTAAGGCTATTTTCAGTGTGATAGTTAATTTTTAATATTATACTTTAAAAAATTGTTTAAAATGTTATTTTTTGGAAAACAGCCACATTAAAAGTTTGTTTTTATTATTATTTCATTCAAGGTGTTAAAAACTTTGAATTAATGCATTTGAACATTTAAAAATTAAATGTGCATATTGGTACAAATATGGTGAGTAAATCATGGATCAGAATAGATGGTCAGAAACAGATGTACCTCATATAAAAATGCTTAATTGTTGACAACAGGAATCTTGTAGATTAATGGGAAAAGGATGAGTTTTTCAATTATAATGGCAAAATTATCCATATGGAAAAAATAAAAATTGACGCCTAGCTCAGTACATACAGAGATCAATTTTAGGTAGATTAAAGATCTAAATATGAAAACAAACCTTTGAAGCCAAGAAGGAAGAGAGTGTCTTTATAAACTTGCACTAGAGAGAATTTCTTTTTTTTAAAGATTATTTATGCATACTAGAACTGGGGTACAGGTCAGAGGTGTGGTGGGGTGAGAGTATTCACCAGAGACAGAGTGGGGAACAACCGGCAGATTGTGAAGTACACTGCTGAGGGGAGTAGCAGGCAAGTCAGGAGAGGTCTGCTGCGCCATGTGAGTAGCTCCCTGGCCGGGGATTGAACTGGTGCTGCAGTGGCTGCAGACAGCTTCATAGATTGCGTCTTAACCATTTGCGCCACCAGGGAGGGCCTGAGAGAATTTTCTTTAAGAGAAAATTATAGACCATAGTGGAAAAATTGATCAATTTTCTAAATTAAAATTAAAAACATTTGGTCATCAGAACTTCTAAAAAGAGTAAAAGAGAAGCTACAAATCAGTTATATTTCTCATATATATGTGAGCACAGATTTATAATCAAAATATATGCTCTATATGAAAAAAAAAAACACCCTAATAGAAAAATGTTATAGAAGGATTTAAATGGCCAGTGAACATGTTCAACCTTATCAGTAGTCAGGGAAATAGCAAATAAAAAAATACATTGAATTATGTTTTCACAGCCCCCAAATTAACAAAGATTTGAAAGTGTGTGTGTGTGTGTGTGTGTGTGTGTGTGTGTGTGTGTATTTCTTCTTAAAGATTTAGGGCCTCTCTAGTGGTGCAAGGGGTTAAGACATAGCCTGTGGGGCTGTCCGCAGCCCCTGCGGCATGAGTTCGATTCCCGGCAAGTGAGCTACACACATAGCACAGCAGACCTCTCATGACTCGCCCGCTGCTCCCTTCAGAAGTGTATTTCAGTGGATCTGCCTATTCTCTTCCCCACTGTCTCTGATGAGTCCTCTCACCCCACACACCTCTGGCTTGTACACCAGTTCTTGTATGCATAAATAAATAAATCTTAAAAGATTTATGCATAGAAGAACTGGGATGTAAGCTTGAGGTGTGGGGGCTGGAGTGAGAGGATTCACCAGAGACAGAGTGAGGAGCAGAACAGGAGGATCTGCTGAAATACACCGCTGTGGGGAGCCGTGGGCGAGACAGGAGAGGTCTGCTGCACCATATGGGTTAGTTCCCTGGCTGGGATCGAACACAAGCCATAGCAGTGATAGTGCTGAGACTTAACCACTACCCCCACCAGGGAGGCCCTTAAGAACTCTTTATATTGCTGGTCAAATGAAAATTGAAATGTTTGACGTTATCTACTAAAGTCAAATTTGCATTTTTTTTTTATGATTAGTCCTTTCTATTCTTTGCTATATCATCTAAGGAAATCCTTGCCCATGTGCACAAGTACATATCTCTATATATTTTCCCAATTGTATAAACAAGATAATGGTAAATACATAAAAAGGATTATTGCTCAGTCTGAAAAAATAAGGAAATTCTGACAAATGGTACACCACTGGTTGAACTGTAAATACATTATGCTAAGTGAAATAAGTGAACACAAAAGGACAATTAGATGATTTCCACTGAGATGGGGTAGCTTGAGTGGTCAGATTCATAGAGACAGAAGGTAGAGTGGTGGTTGACAGAGGAAGCAGAAATGGGAACTTATGGCTTAATAATTGCATATAGTTTGCTTTTGCAAAAGGATAAAAGTTCTGAAAGTGGATGGTGATGATGGTTGTATACAGTGCAAATGTACTTGAATAATAAACTTTGCACTTAATGGTTGAAGTGGTGAATTTTGTGTATCTTACCCCAATTTATGTGGGGGGGAGTCATAATGACATTGCAGTGATAATAGAAAATTACAAACAGTTCAGTTCTCTATAAACAATATAACAGTGAATATTTATACTTTGGAATATGATACACAGTGAATAAGCTGTGGCTGTATGAATGAATTATGTTCTGTGAAACATAAGAAAACAAGAATACATAACAATGTGATTCTGTTTAGACTAAGTTTAAATTAGGCAAAACTGATATTTTATGAGGGTATGTATATATTGGTAGCGTAAGTAAAGGAAAGCAAGGGAATGAGTAACAAAATTTATGACAGTGGTTACCTCTGGGGAATGAGGAGGGCTTCAAAGATATTCTATTTTTTTTTAACCTTGGCTGGTATATTCCTTGGTTTTTATTTACTTATTTTTAAAGATTTTATTTATACATACAAGAACTGGGGTACAGGCCAGAGGTTTGGGGGGGCGTGAGAGGATTCCCCAGAGACAGAGTGGGGAACAGAACAGAGAGATTGATGGAAATACACTGCTAAGGGGAGCAACAGGCAAGTCAGGAGAGGTCTGCTGCACTATGTGGGTAGCTCCCTGGCTGGGTATTGAACTCATGCTGCAATGGCTTCAGAAAGCTTCATAGTGCTGTGTTTTAACCCTTTGTGCCACCAGGGAGGCCCTCTTGATTTTTATTTTTACCTTCTGAACTACGTATTTATGTTTCTCATTCTCTCCTGTACATTAGTTAATGTTTCACAATAAGAAAAAAAATTTTGCTAATTTTAAAATGTTCTTTTCAGTGTTTTTGCAGCAATTTTTGTTATAAAGCATCTAAATTTTTTGAAGCACAAATTCCTGAAACTCCAGTATGGGTTCGAGAAGAAGAAAGGTAACTTATTTTATTATGTGTACCTTTGTTCATGTATTCTAATTATTTCTTTCGGCTTTTTGAGATCTGCAGAGAGCAGGCCTCGTTTTCTGTAGAATGTTACCACTTATACGATGTAATTGTGGGGAAATGGTAATTTTTTTATTGTAACTACTGGGGATTTTATACTTTGAATCAGAAATTCATACAAATCTTGTTTGCTGTTTTAGCTTTAATCACAAAGCCTGAACATTATCTCTGGCTTCCTACTATGCCAGGAGTTAATGCTATTAATAATCTTGGAGTAAGAATGTTACTTTTTTTTTTTTTTTTTTTTTTTTTCAGAAGATGCAGGATCTTGTAATCCAACTAAACTCATTTAGTTTTAGGAAACTATGTACTAAGTTAAAAAGTTTAGGTTACTAATTCATTTAATCATTATTAAAAACCAATACAAAATCTTATGAAGTTAAAGCCAATTTAGTGTCACTTTTAGTAAAAAAAAAGTTTGTGGGAATTCCTTGGGAAATGTTTAAATATTTAAAACATTTTACTGTTTGTTGAGTTTGAGAGAAAATTTATTGTTGAAGGGCAAATGGTATAAGTAACAAAATTATATTTGATTTGTATTATCTGAAAGTTCCAAAGGCTTAAATTAATGAGATGTCCCAAATAACTCATGTTTGGTAGAGAATATTAATAACGCAAGGCAGTATTATTTGTGGTTAGATAGGATCTGTGCTGAATAAATCTAGTGATGTAAGTTTAGTGAGATGTAAGTTAACTTAAGATGTTTGCATTTAAAAATCCTTAGCAGTTTTACCTAATAAATAAGGTAAAATGACTACTGTAGGTTCAACTAGCATTGACTGTACCGATGACTACCTTTGCTGATTATACCTTTAGCTGCTTGATCCATCCTGTGTAGTTGAGAATATGTTAAAACATACTACCCACTGGTCTTTGTTAATGGAATCAAGCTTAATGAAGACTGAATTGCTCATCATTTCTCTGCCAACCTGTCTGACTTTCTTGTGTAGAGGACAAAAGATTTTAGTATTGTTGAAAGTGAGTGGGAAACTGACAGCACTTTTTAAACTATCACTTTCTTCTCCTATTTCACTGGACCTGCCCATAGCCTCCTCAGCCCTCCAACAGCAACATATTCCATTCCTTTTTGTTAAACCGTACTTTCTAAAGTTATCCTTAACTTTGCTCCCAAAGATAGCTTCTCTGCTTAAATTTAGCACTCTCATTTAGCTAATCCTCCTATCTGCTTCAAAACCTCTAGTGGATTCATTAATTCCTTGAGGAGTGTCGCTTTATTTCATGAATCCACTAGAGGGCACTGTTTTTCCGCAAAGAATTATTTTGTTTAACATACTAAACACAATTCTAGAATTCAGTGTTCTTTTAAAAAAAACTTGTCTAGCTGTTGCTCATATAAATGCTACAGAAATGTGATGATTAAAATAAAGTTTGTTCACATATGCTATGGGATATAACATTCAGAACCTATCTTTTAAGGGAAAAAAATCACAATTAGTATTTATTTAATGCAGAAATTTTTATTAGCTTAAAGTGAGTCATAATAAGTAATAAATTGCATCATTATAATTTTAATAATCACAGTTTTAAAATAAGAATTTTAAAATCCACTCATAGAATTAGATGTTTTATTGCAGTGACTTCTAAACAGTTTGACCACTGTATAAATGCATTTCACATTATGGTCCGAACATATATGTAACTGAAACAAGAGTTTTTATGAAATAATCATATCCTCACTACATGAAAAACCTCAAATATTTTCTACTTTTTTTTTTCTTCCTTAGTGCTGATAGTAGCCCACTGAATAGGTTAGTTCCAATTTGCAATTTTAAGAACACTATTGTTGGTTCTAACTCAGCTTTTAGTTGTTTTACTATAGGAAAATTTGTTATCCATAATAAAACTCAGTTTCCTTTTTTCCTTTTTTGTAGAGTATAAAATTGCGTTTAACTTCTTAGTTCCTTTTAGTTCTAATGTTTTTCAGTTCTAAGTCAGCTACTATAGTGAAAGTTTTCTAGATAAGGGAATGTTTATTTATAAATATGATGAAAATTAATATTGTTAGTATAAAACTAGGGAAATTTAAATACCTTATAGGGAAGGCTGCTTCACATAAGAATTTAAGAGAAAAGTTACTGACTCAAATAATTTGAACTTTTTAGTAAGGTAGAGGCTGATAAAAGATCAGATCAAAGTTTTTAAATTATGAAAAGCCAGAAATGTTTTATAATATGTGTGGAACCACTTGAAGTTGACATCTTCAGGTGATCTTACACATCATTTGAAAATAGAATATTGAATTTGGTTCAGTTTGGTCTTTTAATGTTATGAGAATGACATAAATTTATTCACCCTGTTCTGAAAATACTAAAACCTATTGTATCCCTTAAAGTTACACCACAGCAAACTCACTACATCATTAAATATATATAAATACGTATATTTAAGAAAGGCTTAGACAGGTTCATGAATTCTGCCTCCATACACCTGTCAAAGCTTTAGAGTCAAGAAAAGGCCTCAACGGTTTTCTAGTCCCTCGTTTTTATTAAGGCGTGAAAAAATAGCTGGTGTCCTATCAGAAAAAATCATTGACCTACATGGCCTGGATCGTGACACATTATGATGTTTCTCATCTTGTGAGTTCGAAATTTTTCCCCCATTTGGTAACCAGAAACAGACCACATATAGTTTTGTTGCTGAGACTGTGTTCATTTCGATAGTCACATAGTTGTATTTATAAATCCTGCTGGTTGGCTGTAAACTCCAAGAAGTCTTTGAAGGAGGAGAGTTTTCATGAATTTGTAACCTACAAAATCAGGAGTTCAACAAGAAGGAAGGACAAATGTTAAAATCAAAACTATGATTTAAAAGATCAAATTGAGGTGAATGGTTAATGCTGACAGAGCTAAAAGCGCCATCATGTGGCCCAGAGTAGGGGATTTTCACACATGCTTCTTGGCAATAAGCAGTATAATCTCAGAGGTGCGGAAGCCAAAAACCTCTGCAGAACAACTTCTATAACCTCTTCCTGAACAGTCACCTCAGTTGCTTGTTATACAGAATAAAAACTTTATGAAGCAGGATATGTTATATATGCCTTAAATTATATTTGAAAAATTTCTATCACAAGGGTAATTGTAGTCTGTTGTTTAGTGTTAGTTTACATATCACTTGCTCTAAGCAATATATATATGAGCATACTCATATGTACATGCACACTTAGACATGTTTTTTGGCATGTTATTTTGCTAACGCTACAATTAATAACCTATTTTAATGAAAATGTGAAGAACCAGTTTGAAGTTATGTTTTAACTAAAGTGATTACCTTTTTTGTTTGTTTGTTTAGAGAAAAAAGTTTATTAAGGAGAAAAGGAACAGAAACTGATAACTTTTGTTCTTAAAATTGAGTTTATCTCAAATTGAGGATTATCACTAGGGCAATATCAACTTTGAAGGAAATGCAAAATAGAGTAGAGTTATGGCATTTTTAAATACAAAAAGCTTTTGAATTTCACTTAAGGAAGCATAGAAAATAAAGAACAACATAACTTAGTGCCTTATCCTTTCTCAAACAGCACATAGCAAAAAGAAACTGTAGTTTGTATTGACCCTTTCAATTAATACCTTATTAAACTCAAATCTAGTTTGTTTTAGTGTCAGGTACCAATCTCCATTTCATAGATTGGGAATCAGGGAGGGTATTCAGGTCACTCATAAAATATGTAGAGACAGTATTCAGTGTAGTTTTCCATTACCACCTTTACTTAAAATCAGAAAAATGAAGCAAAGGAGAGAAAAACAGTAACTTGTAAAGTATATTGATTTTTTTCTTTAAAAAACCAAGTGTCTCATTTTATTTTATTTATAAAGATTTATTTATTTATACAAGCACTGGGTAGAGTCAGAAGCACGGGAAGGTGAGAGAATTCACCAGAGCTAGAGCGGGGAGAAGAGCAGGCAGACTGATGGAAGTACACTGCTGAGGGGAGCAGTGGGCGGCAGGAGAGGTCTGCGCACCATGTGGGACCCTCGCCCAGTAGCCTGGGATCGAAGCAGCGCTGCAAAGGCTGCAGGCAGCTTCGCAATCCAGCGCTCAACCGCTGCGCCACCAGGGAGGCCCTAAAGTATATTGATTTTTCCTAGGAGAAGGTTAAGCAAAGGTGGTGTCCTCAGCGTTTTTTTTGTTGTTGTTTTTTGCATAGAAGATCTGGGGTGTAGGCCAGAGGTGTGTATGTGGTGGGGGGAGGAGAGGGAGTGAGAGGATTCACCAGAGACAGAGTGGGGATCAAAGCAGGCATTTACTGAAATACACTGCCAAGGGGAGCAGCAGGTGAGACAAGAGAGGTCTGCTATGCCTTGTGGGTTATCTTCCCTAGCTGGAGAGAGAATGTGGGCTGTCATGGTGGGCCATCATGGTAATAGTGCTGATACTTAACCCCTAGGCCACCAGAGAGACCTCTCACAGCTTTTTTGATCTTTAATTAGAAGACAGTATGTTGTACAAATCACTTAGACTTTGTTTTTTTTTTTTTTTTTTTCTTTTCATGTAGATGAACTGGGGTGTAGGCCAGAGCTGTGTGTGTGTGTGTGTGTGTGTGTATGCGCGCGTGTGAGAGAGAGAGAGAGAGAGGATTAACTAGAGACAAAGTAGGAAGCAAAACAGGTAGATCTACTGAGCTACACTGCTGAGGGGAGCAGCGAGTGAGACAGGAGAGGTCTGCTGCGCTGTATGTGGATCAGCTCCCTGGTGGGGATCGAACTCGGGCCATAGCGGTGATAGTGCTGAGATAAGTCTGGGCCACCAGGGAGTCCATGAAAGGGCTTGGGCTTTGACAGACCTAAGTTCAAATCATAAATTTATGCTTGCTAGCTGTAGTGACCTTAGGAAGTCAGTTGACTTTTCGGTGTCAGTTTCCTCACCGTAAAAATAAGTTATTTGAGATGGCTTAGATGGTAAATTTTATGTTA